ATGCATAGAATAAATGGAATGAGTGGAATAAATGGAATGAATGGAATGAGTGGAATGCATGGAATAAATGGAATGAGTGGAATGCATGGAATAAATGGAATGAGTGGAATAAATGGAATGAATGGAATGAATGGAATGAATGGAATGAAGGAAGGGAAGGATGGAAGGATGGAAGGACGGAAGGACGGAAGGACGGAAGGACGGAAGGAAGGAAAGAAGGAAGGAGGCAAGGAAGGAAGGAAGGAAGGAAGGGAAGGGAGGGGAAGGGAAGGGAAGGGAAGGGAAGGGAAGGGAAGGGAGGGGAAGGGAAGGGAAGGGAGGGGAAGGGAGGGGAAGGGAAGGGAAGGGAAGGGAGGGGAGGGGAAGGGAAGGGAAGGGAAGGGAAGTGAAGTGAAGGAAGGAATGAACGAAGAACGAATAAATTAATGAACGCATGAGACAGAAAGAAAGAATGACAAAGGAGAGAGGAGAAAGAGTGAGAGACGGAGACAGAGACAGAGACAGAGACAGAGACAAAGACAAAGACAGAGACAGAGACAGAGACCGAGACCGAGACAGAGACAGAGACAGAGAGACAGAGACAAACACAGAGAGAGAGAGAGAGAGCGCGCACTAGCAATGCATCCCACAGGGCTCCCTAGATTTCCCTTGAACATCAAAAGGAAAACAACTGAGACGTGGCCCAAAAGGTGGTCTTCAAACACCACCCCAGGGCTGTGACCTGTCGCGGGGGGGACGGACGGGAGGGCGGATCACCCGACAGGGCCCTGGCGACTGGATGAGGATCGCTCGGCGCCTGGCGCAGAGTGAGCCGGCGGATGAAAACCCAAAGCCCTGGCGCTAGGCCCGTCTTGCCTAGGCGGGGACTGACAGTTCTGGTTGTTTCCTCCTTTTCCCCTAGCTGGAAGCTATGGATGTGGTCTCTGGCCAAAGGGCTCCGGAGGATTCCAGGGCTTCGGGGTGTTGGGATACCACCTGGGCGTACAATTGTTGGTTGCGGGGAAGGGTTTCGGGATTTTGGGAAGGACATCCCCCCACACATCAAGAGAGTCTTAAAACTCATACCCAAAGCGACCGTGCCAAATCTACCTACCCAAAGCGCGCTAAATTAATTTTCCGCCCGGCTCGGGTTATGTCGAGATGTAACAAACCCACAAGAGGGGAGGGAGGGGGATCCCAAAAACTCGGGGGTGTCCTTTTCTCTCTTTCTAAGACCACCCAAATGCAGGTTCACAGTTGGACTCCTCCATTTACCCATTGCACTAATTTGCTTTCGGCTGCCCTCATTCATCCGATACTTCGATCTGCTGGTGACCATTTCGTGGAATCAACCTAAGCTTGACAACGGTTGCCTTTCGCAGAACCACGAATCTTTGCCAGGCCATTTAGAACACACAAAGGGGTGTTCCTTTCGCAAGAGCTCGCAGGCCTTCAAACTCATCTTTGGGTTCCAAGAAATGGGTTACGCAAGATGGGCTCCACGCGAATCAAAACCTGGACGTGCAGTTCCCCTATATATCCAATGTCACAACGAGTTCCCTCCGATGTCTAGGTAGCGGGAATGGATTAACCCCAGAGCCTCCTGTTTGAAGGCTGGCAAAGACGCCGGGGTTTGGGCTAAGCCAATCTGGTCCGAAGGGCCCGCACATGGTTGAACCTCGCAAAAAGGGGGTGGTGTCCTTTCCTTGGTCTTCCAAGGGCCCGCAAAAACAGGGCCCTTCTTGATTTTGCTCTTGGTGGCAAAAAAAATCAGCCAAAGGCCTGCCTTTTTCAGGGTCCTGGAAGATCAAGGTGTTGGTGTCCCTTGAAAACAAGCCACCGAATGCGTACCCTGCTACGGGTACAACAACAGAGACAGCCACATCTCACGCATCCGCCCAAAACAGGAGGGGTTGAATTCCGCGTGAAGCAACGGAAACCATGGCAAGCGGGCAAACCAACGGAATCCTTCAAGAACGCAAGCGACCGGAGCCCCCTTCTCTGTCTGGTCCTTCGAACACGAGCCAACTGAAAAGCTGTTGGAGGGCCAAAACGCGATTGGGTCATACCTGGAAGCTCACTGAGGGTGGCCTTGCCATAAAAAACCGCCGTGAATCCAACAAAGCAAAACCACATTGGGAATTGTAACATAGGAAGTCCCAAAACTGCAAGGGAGAAGTTAAACATCCCAGAGTTTACGACGATTCGTGCCTGGTCTACGTGCTTTCTGTTGTTAGGGCCCTCAACCATCACAACGGTTTATTTGTTGGGCTGCGATTGAACGCATGCGAGATAGGCCCCCTCTTATTGAGCGGCTTTAGTCGAAGCGCGGTCGAAGCACGGAGGTATGGTTGGACAGGCTTGCGGGAATCGCAACTACCTCTGCGATGCTGATTGAACAAGAGTTCCCAACTGAGTATGTCTTGCTTTCGTGGGACCCCAGAATGCTTGGTGATCATGTTGGAATCCCTTGAAACTACAAAAAGGGTACCAACTCCAAAAAAAGGTACCAAAAAGAGAGACGCGCACAACTAAGTCTTCCCTTCAGGCTGAAGTGAACACGAAAGGAATCACAAACGCGATTCAATCTCGTTCCCGCCGAGGCCCTGGCTGCGACTCCATTTCTTGCCTGGCTTCATGTCACTTGTTGTCAGCCTAAAAGGAAATGACCCATGGATCTAGGGGTACCTTCCATTTCCATTCGTTCCTGGCATCCTTTCTAAAAAACCACCCCAAAACCCTGGAAAAAAAAGCGATCGGTTATTGAAAAGAACGATGGTTAAAAAGAATGGACAAGAAATCAACCCCTAGAATGGAGTCTTTCCGAGGCCCCTTGATTTCAACCAAACTGGAGGATCACAAGAAAAGCGACCCCCAGCAAGCCTTCGACTCGCCTGCCCGGCCCAGTTCATCTGTCTAACGCAGAACATGTTCAAGCAGACGAAAACCGTGTTCTCAACAGTTGGACATGTCCAATTCTCTGAGGAATTCAATTCAAACCTTCTCTACTTCCTTTCCCTTGGGTTTCCCTTCATTTCTTGACCTCCTTGCCTTGGTCTTCCAAGGGCCCGCAAAAACAGGGCCCTTCTTGATGTTGCTCTTGGTGGAAAAAAAAAAAGCAGCCAAAGGCCTGCCTTTCTCAGGGTCCTGGAAGATAGAGGGTGTCCCTTGAAAACAAGCCGCCGAATGGGCCACCCTACGGGTACAACAACAGAGACAGCCTTGTTTTTCTTTTTCGGTTTTTTCTCGGGGGTTCCCTTCATTTCCCTTGGCCTCCTGGGTGGTTTTTCCCCACGTTTCCCCGTGGCTGCCGTGCGTTTTTTCCCCCCTCCCCCCCCCCCCCCTCGGTTTTGGATGTTCCCCCCGGCCCCCGGGGCTTTGTTTGGCCGCGCCTCGGGCTTCTCCCGGGACCGCGGCGGGCGCCAGCGCCGGAAGGTGCCGCCTGGGCGGCAGAAAAGATCGGCGCCGACGGGGTGGCTCAAGGAAACCTGGCGTTTATATATATATATATATATTATATATATATATATATCTATGTGTATATATACATACACATTTTTTAAATCCCCACCCGACAGGAAGGGGTTGTTGGTATTTGTTTAATATATTTTTTTAGGCAGGGAAGGAGGGAATGGAATGGGGGAAGGGAATGAGGGAAGGGAATGAGAATAAGGGAAGGGAATGAGAATGAGGGAAGGGAATGAGAATGAGGGAAGGGAATGAGAATGAGGGAAGGGAATGAGAATGAGGGAAGGGAATGAGAATGAGGGAAGGGAATGAGAATGAGGGAAGGGAATGAGATGGAATGGGAGGAGGGAATGGAAAATGACCCCGTGTTGTTGCCTTTCTTCGGGAATCCCATTCCGGTTCATTCCATTTTACATTCCCTGAGCACCAGCAAGAAAACTGAGTGGCCTCTATAAATAGGGGGGTTCGTTTTGGTCCAAGTATTGGTCGGCATGCATGATTTGCGAAACTATGGAGAGGCTTCGGGGGGAAGAAAGCCGGGCAGTCAAACATGTAGCGATCGTCTAAGCCCTTGGTTGCAGGCGGAGAATCCACAGTTTGGTCAATTCCAAATCATGACAACGCTAGATCCGGATCCCAGTCAGTTCGAAAGATAGAAATCGCCTGTCTGCCGGCTGGCTCTCTCACAAAGGTAAATGCGGGGATGGGCCGAACACCTGGCCTGTAAGAGAGCGGGTGCCTGAACATCAGAGAGCTGTGAGCATCAAAAAGAGGTCGCCCTCCGCGAAGGTTTCCACAAGAATCCTTCAGGCTTCGCTCCACACGCCCGGTGTCTTGATATAGTCCTGCCTCTCGCTCTTTGATTCCCAAAACCAGGAACCCCAAAGCTCCCCCTTGGCAGGAATTCGAATCCTATACCAGCCATCTTTGTTCCAGCGGCTGGGATTTTGACCATGTGGTTGGTGAGAGCTTGCCATGTCCCTCCCAAATTCCATGCTTCATCCGAAAACTACGGGAAGAACGATGCACTGCTTTTCGATACAACTGCTTGCCTTCCTTTTCCTGAGGTGTGAAGTGATAGCCAATCACAATCATCCCGCACTCGTTCTGCTGCCGGCGGCAAGTTCCGCGAGCCCCCCGCCACTTCTCCAAAAAGTTCTGGGCGCCCAGGCGTTCAGCATGGGAGTGGATGTGCCGTACACACGCCTAAACGCGGCGTATAAAAAGAAGCTGAGATATTGTTCCTATGATGACTTATCTCGGGTTTAACAGTACGCCGGGTGGAAGTACCTTGACACACCTACTTGTTGCCTATCAGGGATCGGCCTGATGTGAGGTTTGGACAAACTTGTCTGAGTTTCTTGTGGGTAGACTGTTTGATAGCAAACTGCGCATAGGCTTGCAGGAATCACCCTTCAGCTTTCAGATTTGGATGGGGCTAATTGTTTTTACCACAAGCGGGATGAGGCATGCACTGTGTTTATAGTGTTGCTAGGGCTGGTTTTTTACTGGGGCTGGTCCGCCTGGTTGGTCGGTTGGGAAAATCCGGCTCGAGGCGCCTCTGCGAACCTGGACAAGGGCTTCAAAAGCGTTGCCCTCAGACCTGCGCGTGCGTCTCCTTGGGTTCTCCCCCTTTTGCTTGGTTTCCTATAGAAACCCTACAAAAACTCACAGGCGTCGGGGCCCCAATTTTGAGAACCATGTTGAGCCCTAAAACCCTCCCCGATTTGGAGACAGACCATGTGGGTCTGGCTGTTTTAGTGTGGGGAGGTCTCCATATGAATGTATCGCCAAAGGCCCACAAAGCCTGACTAGCTTCCTTTTCCGCGTCCTAAGCAACTCGGTCCCCTTTACCCCCAAGCAACCTTAAAAAAGATGCACCCATATGCTGGCCCAACCTTTGGCAACCAAAACTTCCTAACCCAAATCTGCAAATGTCCCAACCTTGCTGGAGTCAGTAGGGATGACCTTCCGGGTGTTAGGAATGAACAGGAGGCCCAAGGAAACCAAATCGGATGGATGGTCGTCGGGATTCACTCAGCAACTCATTGCTCATAGCAGCGATGCCGCCGATCTGAAAATTTCCCCATGGACTCCGATCCTGAAACCGTCCGGGCCCGTTATCGCACTTCCTCAGTGGATTGCCCAAAAACATGTTTGTTTACCACCAAAATGGCGGTACCAAACCCAAAGGGCGGAACCAAAGTCCAAGAACTCGGGAAGTGAGTAAACCCGTCCTATTCATACGGGGGGTGTTGCCTGCGAACATGATGAACCACCAAACAGGGACACCCCATTGGGAAACTAAGGTTTATTCATCTGGGGTGAACGTTAGAAGCACCCTAAATGTTGTGCTTACATGTGCTTACCACTAAAATGGCCACCAAACCCAAAAAGTGGCCAAAGTCCCAATATTCACGGAGTGAGATCCAGAGACAGCCAACAAACTTCAGCACCCCAGAAACATCACGGCATACCCCAAGAACTCAGGAAGTGAGTTGTCCTGTTTCACCACGCGACAAACCCCACCGATCCATCGCCCTCGCTCGCTTCGGGCCCCGGTTGTGGCCCCTGGGCCCCTGGCCGCCGTCTCCTTGAGCTGGGCGTCCACGATGGCCGGCTGGCTCAAGTCCAGCTGCCTGTGAACTTCGGGTGTGTTTAGTACATCTGCACATCAAGACCTGTGTATATAAATGTAGACATGTACGTGTATATATATATACATATCCATATGTATATATGTATGTACATACACTCATACACATACATATAAGTATGTAGATATAATTGATGGTATATGCATAAATGATTGCATGTGCATAATAAGTGTCTTAGTACGACAATGCACATGAATATTTGTATGTGGCTCTGTGTGCGCCTGCGTATGTAAGTATGTGAGTATGTGGGTTATGTGAGTATACATGCATGTGTGTGTGTATGAATCAATGTGTCTATGTATGTACATACAATGTATGTATGTATGTATGTATGTATGTATGTATGTATGTATGTATGTATGCATGCGTGCATGCGTGCATGCGCGCATGCGTGCATGCGTGCATGCATGCGTGCATGTATGCATGTATGCATGTATGCATGTATGCATGTATGCATGTATGCATGTATGCATGTATGCAATGCATGTATGCATGTATGCATGTATGCATGTATGCATGTATGCATGTATGCATGTATGCATGTATGCATGTATGCATGTATGCATGTATGCATGTATGCATGTATGCACGTATGCATGCATGCACGTATATATTGACTATGTATGTGTGTGTGTACCGTCGGAGACATTCACCGGATTGTGTTGCCGCGCATGCAAAAAGAACATTTGGCAGCCCTCCCTTTGGCCATCACCAGGGCACCATTTATCTCATCCAGGGCAGATGGCTCATGGTCACCACGTGCCTCAAGGCCCGACATTCTGAGCAGAAATTCAGCATGCCAGCAGGACAACTTGAATTTCGGGCATCCCCGAGGTTGGAGTATCACCGGTCTCCAAAAGCCTGCATCTTGAAAGCGGAATCATCCATGTTGACTGTACAACCACCTGCTACGTTTGAGCAACTGGGAAGGCGCAGAAAACTGGACAGGGCAGGATGCATTGTGAACTGGCCAAGGTGACCGAGGGGGAAAAACTGGAAAAACCGGCATGTGACAACAGTAGTTGCACCCGTCCAGCTGGATATGTCCAGGCTGCGTCTTTCGTCAAATGATAAACATGTTCTCACCTAAGATCACTTAAGCAGGTGCCTCGCAAGATTCCATGTTTGCTCAGCAACCAGGCGAAAACTAGCGCTTTACATATCTCTATACATAATTATATAAATATATATATGCATACATACATGTACATATATATATATACATATGTGTATATATGTATACTTTAGCAATATGATTATACATATCTATATATATATATTAATAACAAAGAACGTAACGAAACCAGAAATGACCTCGTCCCGGCCTGAGCCGATCGATGCCTGACACGAGCTGAGACCTCGGAGTTCGCGGAGGATGGATTCCACGAATCTGTGATACAAAGAGGGCCTCCCAAAGACTACCTCTCACCAGCTAACATGGGTTTGTGCACGGAGCCCTGCAGAAAGACGACTTTCCTCTTGGTTAGCTGGCCATTTTGCACTTCCATGTTAGTTGGTGGGAGGGTAACCCATGTAAAGAGGGGATTCCAACTGAAATTCTCACGGAGGTTGGAGAAACCCCGAGTGATCCCACAATTTGGTGGACGCTGAACGGGTCTATGTTGCAACCTCCTTCATTTCGGGTATTGGTTTCCTAGGCTTCTTAGTTGCAACAGATACTCCAAGTGCCCATGGCACTTGGTCCCCGGACTGGTCAAATTCTCTGTCCCAACTACGTTGCCTTCACGTGTCAGGGGATGTTCGGAGAGGAACTGCCGAAAATTCACCGACTCTCTGGGGCCCTCAGGAACGAGATATCTTCTGGTGGTGTCATGGAACCCGCGTTTGGTGCACCCGCCAAACAAAAGCCAATGTGTCAACAAGAGTTGCTGAGACCTTGAAAGGAAAGTTGCAAGACAGAATCGTTCGTGTATACATTAAAAAAAATGTGTAAACATATATAAAGAAAAATATATTTATTTATTTATTTATTTATTTATTTATTTATTTATTTATTTATTGATATTTATATCCACATGGCGATGGACAGCGGAATAGCCATCCCAACGTGAAGGTCATCTACCAAATCCATGTGACAAAACAGGTTTCCGTCTTCACACAGCGCCGACAAATGGCGGGCCACTAGCAAGTTGGGGATGACAGCATATCCCTTTTGCGAGGGTCCTGACATTAACAAAAATATGCTGGAGCAAAACATAGTCATTCCAGCCCCGCATTTGATCTACCATCCTATGTTTCAACATCCGCCCATGTTCTGCGATACCAGACCCCATTACTCCGCTCTGCCCTAACCCAATTGTTGCGGAAAATAGCCCTTGTTTGAAGCCTATATATTATATAAATATTTATTACGCATGATCGCTTTGAAGAGGACATTTTGCAAATATCCCTCAAAGTGGCAACCCAAAAAAGCATCTCACGGGAATGTCTTTTTTAGGCCCCCCTCCACCCAAAAAAAAATGTGTTTGTTCCCTTTCCTTTCAAACCAAGCGAGGCGTTGGGGGCTCGAGGTTTGCGAGCATCGAATCGAATGGAAACCGAGGCCCGCAGCACGTGCTGCCGCAGGCGGTGGGCGTTCCGCACGTCGATCGGCTCGGCACCCCGGCCTCACTGCTAACCCGCACGGGGGCGCTCGTCTTCTGTTGGAGTTGGTATCCTCTTTTGGTTGGGGCTATAATGGGAAACCAGCAACAAAAAACGTGGCGCCGGTTTTGTGGGAGGGGGGGTCCCGAAAAACCAAAAAACCGAGAACAAAAAAGCCAAAAGACGTCCAAGCTTTGTTTGGTTCCCACTAACATGCTCCAAACCATGAGTGATACTCAAGCCCGAAACGGAAACAATTCAGGGTCGTCCCTTAAAAAGTGGTACCAAAAATCCACCTCAGGAAGCGAGCCGCTTGGAAGACCCCACTTGGAAAGTCAGGAAGTGAGCATGTGAAATCCTCTCTGTTTCATTTCCCCAATTCACAAGGAGACGTGTCCAATCCCACCCCACCTCCCTCCCAAAAACCCATAAACCCACCTCCCCCCCCCCCAACCCACCCGTCCCCCCAACCCACCCGTGCCCCCCAACCGCCAACCCGCTCGTCCCTCGCCCAAAATGGCCGGGGGCCCTGGCAGATCCGCCGCGCGGCGTCCACCAGAAAGTCCAGGCCATGCACCTCCTCGTCCAGCGCCTCGCGGTCCACCTGACGAAAGGGGCTGTCCGCTTTCGGATCCGCGAAAAGTGGCGAACTTCTCGTGGGTTAAATGGGAATTTCTCCCACTAAACACCAAAAAGCTGACAAGCTAAGGAACCGGATGGAGTGGGCTAAATGGGTGTGGGTCAAAATTAAACCACCTGGAAATGGACCGCATGTTTGCGTCCATATTTCCAGGGCCACCCATTTTGCGCACCTATTTTTGACCCACCGCCAAATGGCGGCCTACCACTAAACAGCCCTCAGGAACAAGCTGACGAAAGTCAGCCACTCGCTCGCGAGGTCTCGCTGGCGTCGCAAAAAACCCAGGCGATGGGCTGGATGGCCGGGAGGAGAAAAATGGAAGCCGAGGAACTGGCTGGTTCTGCGCTTGCTTCGAAAGCAAGCGCGACTTCCAGCCAGTTCTTGGCGTTTAGGGTGAAGGTTTCTTATTTGTTTGTTTTGGATCCTTTGCTGGGGACCGATAGCCTACGTGGGGTCTTCGAAGCAACCAACCCGCCCTTCCCGTCAAAACCTCCGGGCGGTTCTCTGAACAGAAGAAACCGCCGACAGCTTGCTTTTTAATCTTCCCTTAAACCAAGGTGGGCTTCTCCAAAAAGCAGCCCACTGCCAATCCTTGAGGCCTCACACAGCCATTGGAGTGACTGGCTCACAGCCAGTAGAATCGACGGGTTACTCAGCTTCATGTCTCGGCTGCAACGTGGGCCACTTCGACCTGCTGATCTACATAACAGGTATACATACATATATGCATATAAGATCATGTGTATATATATATATATCACCCCCATATCTCGCAGCGTTGCTTTGGTGTACTCAATGTTCTCACACCTTCCGCTCGCCTCCTCGGCATCCACGAGGCAGCGCAGAGTGCCGCACTTCACCTCAGGTCCGCTCTGCATTGGGAGGCTCCCGGGACACCCCAAAATCCACCAGCTCGCTTCCAGAGTGGATGGCCCAAAAAACGTAACCAACCTTTTGTTTGTCGCCAAAATGGTCTTCCCAACAGTCCATCCATGCAAAACAGAGAAAAGCTCTTGGACTTCAAGAGCTTGTACCCAAAACGGCGAAAATGAGTTCGACACCCCATGATTCAGAATTCAGGTAAGTCCAAAACGGAAGGTTGGTTAAATGGCTGTGGGCCAAAACCTGCGGTCCCATTCCTGGTGGCTTTGTTTTGACTCATTCCCAAATGATTGGCCAACAACCCAACGAAAAATCAATCCAAGACTCACAAAAGGATAGGCCTCGCAAAGGAACCCTTCAGTTGGAAACTGTTAAAACCCGAAAGCTGTAGCATCCTCATGATCCTCGTATTGTGTTTTGTTTGTAGTCCTCCAAAGAATGCAGCATACGCTTCCTTTTTCTAATGACATAGAGGTTGAAAAACGATAAAGGGAAGAAGTGACAAAGGAAAAGCTAAGTCTGGCAAAGTTGGTTGAACTCGTCCAGCAGATCACCCGCCAAAAAGTCACAACGGGTGTGTCCGGGCCACGCGCGGTTTGGGTGCCAGAGGCAATGTCCACAAGTTGATCTGTACCCAGCCGGTCAACCGCCGTCTTCTGCGTCCATCAACTTCCCCCAGGCCTTTGCAGGTCATCCTATGCCACTCAAAGGCATGTTCACCGCATCCTTGGAAAACAAAGCTTCAGGAACTTGC